GATCAGCCCAGAGGTTGTTTCAGGGTTCTATCTGTGAGTTAAAATTAGCCATGCCCTGACTTAGATCAGCACAGTGGCTATTTTAAGGTTTGATCTGCCCTAAAGATTTTTTTCTGACTTCATCCTAAAAGCATTCAAGTATGAATTTTCCATGGTCTATGTACCACTCTTGGAAGTTCCTATATTATAATTTTACAATAAAACCGATATTTGATAATTACCTTTTTCTTTTCTAGCTCCTCGTAAGTCATTGTCCCTTGTTTTATCGTTGCAAAAGCAAGAGGATTAGATTCTGCAGCAGATCGTGAGGATGCGGAGAAGCCAACACTTGGCCCAGTGTACTCGATGACGTGAATGCGGTCGTCTACATCGACGTCTGTGCACAAAAAATGGTGATCATAGAGCCCACCAAGTGCTCCTTGACAGAAAAGATGGTCACCTCGTCTCACATTCATCTCTCTGCAACTAACCGGCACATCTTTAAACTTTCCCTCTTTCAAATATTTGCCTAAAAAAATTTTCTGCTCTTGTTGTGATTTCTCCTCTATTTCCTGCCATTCGGCTTCGCTTATTTTTAGGCATTCAGAGCTAGTGGGACGGATCGTGGTTGKGCTGGTTCTCATGCATGGATCGTAAGTGGATGGCGACGGTGTCTTGATTGAAGCAGTTATTGGTTTCCTTGTAAATTGTGATAGACTCTGATCAGTCGATCGCGAGTTTCTCCGCAGACATCTTTGCTCATCAAGGAACTCACGGCATCCAGAAGAATCATTGGATTTTGAGGACTTTGTTGTTTGCTGAAGAAATTCATCCCTCTTTGTCTGGGTTGAAGCAATTGGTGGTTTCCTTGTATACTCTGGCGAGGGACTCTGGCCCGCAGTCGATCGGGATTTTTTCAGTTTTCTTTGCTCATCAAGGAACTTACGGCACTCAGAAGAGTCATTGGATTTTGAGGACTTCGTTGTTTGCTGAAGAAATTCATCCCTCTTTGTCTGGGTTGAAGCAAATCCATCCAAGAAATCATTTCCCGAAAATGGCTTCTTTAAAACCGTGTCATTGAATTTCGAGGGCTTTATAGTTGTGTGCTGCACACATCCATTCGTCTTTGTTTTGCCCTTCAAGAATCCATTCAAAAAATCATTTTCCGGCGAGGAATACAAATTGTCTTCGACCCAACTGCGGTTGCTGTTGAAGTCATACGAGGGATAGAGTCTTCTGCCCGTTAATGGTGAGCATTGCTCGCTTTCTTTTAGGGCTTTGTCCATCTTATGCTTCCATTCATCATGCTTGGACGAGTACGGCGAAGGCATCTTGAATCCTTAGTGATTTAAGACAGTATTTTCAGTAGTATAACTGCGGCCGCCAGTGACTTAAAACAAAGAACTGACTTCTTGGAATTGAGGGATCTTTTTATGATGTCATTCAAGTACCAAATAAGGGAAACCACTAAAACTGTCCAATAGAAAGAGTTGCTCTCGAAGCACATTCTAATGTTTTGTCGTCTACCATGACTACGTCCGGTCAGACTTCCGGGCTTTTGTATTTTTTATATTTAGAGGACAGTGATCAGTAACAGCAATTACAAAATACTGAATCTTCTTCATGAAGATTCGGTAAAGTTAGTAAGGTTTTCATCAATGTCGAACCAAACAGACTGAAAAGTGTAAACAATTGTGTTCTAGGGAAATTCCCCTGGGAATATTCCCCCTCCATCCAAAGCGAACAGACGAATCTTAGCCAATGAATCAAATTACACAAAGTTATTTAATTAAAAAAAGAAATTTCTCATTTCTTTTCCAAGAATGCCTAAAAACCTTGCATATATCGTACTATGAGTGATTAATCTCAAAAATGCCTTCTTTCTATCATCTACTATGAAGTTTTTCTCGATATTGCTGCTATACTAAAAGACTATTAAAGCGAAATGTAGGTAAATAGCATGAATCAAGAAGAACTAGGGAGATCCCCTTTCTTGACTGAAGATTATAGTATTGATTTTCTTCATATCAGATCAAAATTAAAATTCAATTTGCTAAGACACGGATGAAAGACACAAGAAATATATCAAAAGAGTCTCTTTTTGTCGCTGCTCACTAGACTGTAATATTTAACAATTATTGACTGGTTCCCGAGGTGAAGCTGMGGAAAACATCGCCGTCGGGGGACAACAAAACGCACAACAAACTTTCCCGCGGTTTCGGTTAAAGTGCTTATAAGCCTTTGCACAATATTTTAGAATTGATTCTTTAGATAGTGGATAGTTGATTGTGAAAATATTTCGTBATTTGAATGTCGGGTCTTTAAGATACGAAGGTTTTTATTCCCAATGTGTTAATCACTATGACGTATCATAAGGGATCATTTAATATACAACACTGCACTCGTTCTGGATTACAGTATTTTAAAAGCATCACCCTTTTACTCGTGACTCACGTAAAGGTTCTTACAAATTTGTTTTCATAAAATGTTCAGCGTTCAATATTAAAAGTTGCCACAAAATAACTCAAATCCCTTATGTTACGTCATAGTCATTAACATACTGGAAATATAAACCTTCGTATCTCAAAGACCCGACATTCAAATGACGAATTATTTTCACAATCAAATATTCACTATTTAAAGAATCAATTCTTAAATGCGTTTTGTTATATAGCAAGTGTCAAAGAAAACAAAGCAATTGTTTGAACGGGGAAATCACTTCCGGTATTGTCGTTACCGGTCAACAACATTTTATTGCCCGCTGCATAGTTAATAATTTAGTGAGCCGTTTCCAAGGAAACATCGAAACTTGTTCTGCACGTTCACGTGATTGCTCGGCTGACTGTGTTAAGTCGGAATATAATTCGTTATAAATTCTAGTTTAAAGCTATAAATATTATTTCAGTTAAATTAGCAACTGCAATGGACTGAAATAAATATTATCAATTAGATTTTAAAAAAGTCAATCAAGTTGATTTTCAGTGTTACATTGTTGGAAAACCGTTCAAATGTTTTGTCTGCTGGATGTCATAGATGTGACTCGTTCGCTCCTTTGTTCTTTTCTTTATTAGTTTCATCCTTGATTCAGATTCGTTCCATCCTTTCTATTTTCCTCCTTTTATTCTCAGCTAGTGCAATCTTTGGTTAGCTAATTTAGTTTTTTTCTTCTCTTACTCCTTCCACCCTTGATTCGTTCCTTTGTTCCTTCTTTCCTTCCCAGTATTCCTTCCATCCTTGCATTTGATGTGTTCATTCCTTGTTCTTAGCAGATGTTAAAAAATGGACCTGAGGCTGAGGTACGATATGTGTATGGTATTTTTCGGGATTTTTTGGAAAAGGAATTTTCTGGCAGACTTCAGTGACACTTGGATCGGCGAGCTTGTCTTGCGCAAGGCACTACACATGAGTACCAAACTGATGACCAAGAGAGAATGAACTAGATCATATTCTCTTGGTATGACGTAATGGATTCTTAAAGACCCATCATTTCCGAGAAGTCCCTTTCTTGTCACTAGGTCACTGTAGCAGTACATCGCAAGCGCTTGGTTCTTTGAAATAACACATACTGACTGAACTATAAATGATCCAATACCAGATGATGTCTATGGCGTCCTCGTCCACATGATACACAGTTTTCACAAGAAGAAGAAAGTCTGTCACTAGAGTGAGTTCGAGAGATAAGATAGGAAAGTTCTTTTAACATACGGAAGAGACTAATCATAAGGTTTAGAAGCGTACATTACTAGTAAACGGCCAAGCGGTTTGAAGAATTTGCATGACCAATCAATCTACGAACTCTCAATGTCAAGAATACGAGAGAGCGAAGCTAAATTCATTACGCCGTATACTGCACTTCTTGCTGAGAACGATGACTGTCCAAGGCCAAAAGAACTTAGTGAAGCCAAATGGAAGGAACTCGAACAAAAATCACTACAAGAACAGAAGGAATTTCTTGACAAATATTTGAAAAAGGGGATGTTTGAAGAAGAGTTAGTTAGCTCCGAAGATAAGAATGTAAGAAAAGGTGACCATCTTTTATATCAAGGAGGGTCCGGTGGATTGTATGACCACCATCTTTTGTGCACCGAGGTCGATGGAGACAACATAATTCACGTAATCGAATACGGTGGGCCAAGTTGTGGCTTCTCTGCATCCTCACAATCAGTTGTATCATCCAATATCGTTGCTTTTGGAGCAATACGAAAAGGAAATTTGACTTACGAATTTCTTGTGAAGGAGAAGAGAGTAAGGACCAAATTACCTTTCTTAATAGTTACTAAGTCAAAAAAATACTTCTTCAATTCTTCTTTATCAGGTTGAATTCGATATACTTAATGGCACGGAAATTGATCAGCTACGATTTTTTACTCATTTTGGGACCATTCATCTTTTACGGGTATTGGAGGTGGGGGGATTTAGGGGGCAAAAATATTGCATTACAGGAGGGTACCCCCTCCCCCCCCCCAAAAAAAAAACTTTAGCTAACTAGAAAATTTATTTAAAAATTTATCCTGTTTAAATAGGACGCCACATAAAAATATTTAAGGTTGGGAAGTGGTCATAAATTTTTTTACTTACAATTCTAAACAGCAATGATTAAAAAATGTATGATTTACCTCCATTTCCGTTTATATTATTTTTGTATACTTCCACAGTTTTTACCTTCGTATTATATACTATTTCAACTAATATAAAACATATAACGACATCATATCCCCACATCAAAAACTCCTTTAATAAATGGATATCTTCAACAAATTTCTATGAAATTCGATTACTAGCAGTGCCACTTGCGCTATTTTTTGAACAAACTTGTGTGTATATCAGTTTCCTTAAGGGGGGGGGGGGGTGCTAGCCAACTGAATATATATCAACCCCCTAGATCTACCAGATTATCTAAGATCTTGAAAAAGTTCTTTGCTATTGCTTACGGTTTGTTTGTTTTAACAGGCAAAAATAAGAAAGTGGCCTAAAGAGCTCCAAAGGTTTTCTGTCGATGATGTTATTTCACGAGCTAAGTCAAGGAAAAACGAACGAGACTACCATGCCTTTAACAACAACTGCGAGCACTTCGTCACTTGGTGCAAGTGTGGCCTGAACACTAGCTTGCAAGTCGAGCCGTGGTACAAGAGAGCCTGGGATATTGTAAAAGCCGTTGGTGGAGCAATGGAATGTCTTAAAACATACGGCATCTCTGAAGGCGTTCCTGCTTTATTGAGAATTGTTGGAAACGTCTCAGATGAAATTGTGGGGGCCATATCCAGTCCTTTGTCTCCTATCGGATTCGGAGTTGGTGGTGTGATAGAAGCAAGTTTTGCAGTCTATTATATATACCAGGATCACAAGAAGACGAAGCAAGAGCGCTTATCAGAAAGCCAGTTTGAAATCAACACTGTCACTACTGGTTCCAAAGCAGCGGGTCATATCGCTGGTGCCACTATTGGGTCGGTAATTGGGACTACATTCGGTGTTGTAGGAAGTTTAGTTGGAGGTGGAATTGGATATGGTGTGGGCCATGTTACTGGATCCGCAATTGGATGGTGTTATGAATATGCATCAAAGATAAAACACTCAAAGTTTACTTCTGGCTCCGGTGAAGAATGCGTTTAAAGCAGGCAGTCAAAACCATGTGCCTGCAAGACTGAAGCAAAACGTTTCTTCTCGAACGACTTTTTTTGCTTGCAAGTAAGGCCTAGGGCAAACGTCGAACTTTCCATGCACCGAACTCATTAAAAACAATGGATATCAGGTGATAATGAGGCGGCATTCTTTGATGTAATTATGTTCAGTGCATGGAAAGTTCGACGTTTGCCCTAGGCCTTAATGACTCAAAACTAGACTGTTTGTATAGTTAGATGATGATTGTTAACCTAGTTGTTTTATCCATGTAGACGAAACAACTCGAATTTAAAAAAAGTTGAATTGCACAACAAATTGAATTCAAGTTCTCATAAGATTTAAATTCCTTTGATTTGTTCTCCAAATTCAGCTGTCACATGCAAGGGGTCTATAGCGGAATCGTACAGTTTGGCTTAGCAGCAAAGTAGGATTTTGGTACCGTGGACGCCAATCAAAGTGTTTCCATGACATTGTCGGAAAATACAATGTTTTCAAGGGCACGTGCTTCTGGAATGTCATGGAAACGCCTTGATTGACGTCCACAAAAACCTGCGTTATGGTGACGACGATTCCTCGCGTGCTATTGTGAAACACGGCTGTAAGGAACAACACGACATCAACGAAAAATAAATCAAATTGTACTTGTTTCAATATAGTCTCATACATAATCAATTTAAACGTGTGATTGACCTGCTGTCATGAATGCATTGTTGGCTATCTTCAGTGAAAACAACTTGACAGTGGACGACATAAATTTGACAATTCCTAAATCATATACCTTTTGCAGTATGTAAGAAGCTATAGGTACTTTATTTAAACACAGTGAAACTCTTCAGGATTTACAATTAGTGATAATAATATTAATAATAATAATAATACTTCATTAAAACATATAATATAACTCTACTCTATTAATTAATCAATTAACTAATACTGCTTTCCGAGAGTGTTATGTATACTTAGAATAAATTAATTGAAGGAATTAATTGAAAAAACTGCTCTAGTACACGTCTGCTCGAAATTGCCTCAGAGTGCTTGCGTGTTCTTAATTACAAGTATAAAATAAATGTTTTGTTTATTGTCTTTTTGTAGTCTTTTGTAAATTTTTATATTCATCCAGAAAATTTCTTTCTTTCTTTCTTTCTTTTTTTTCTTTCTTTTTACTTTCTTTCTTTTTACTTTCTTTCTTTCTTTCTTTCTTTCCTTTTTTCTTTCTTTCCATCCTTCCTTCCTTCCTTCCATCTTCCTTTCCTTCTTTCTTCATTCCTTCCTTCCTTCCTTCCTTTCTTCCTTTTTCTTTTTCTTTCCTTCCTTCCATTAATCCTTGCGTTCGTCCGTTCGTTCGTTCATTTATTCATACATCCGTTCGTTCGTTATAATCACTTTTTTACCTTCCTTGCTCAGTTTTCACTTTTCTTCACATTCTTTTTCCATCGGTACTTCTCCAGTGTTGACTGAAAGCTCAAAACACTAGGCTCTAACATCGCAACCCCAACCTTATTTCGTCTCATTAGAGCTACACATGCTTGTCTTATCTGCTTACATCGACATAAATGAACTACAGGATTTAAAAACGAGTAAACATAAACCAAAGTAACTGTACCTTCCCAAGCAATAGTCAATGATCGATTCCTACCAAACTTTGAAATGACGATTACAACAGTCACAAATGGAATATAGCAAATGAACAGCACGGATGTAATAATGAGAAGCGTCTTCAGAGTTTTCTTGTGAAGAATTGTCTGGATAATCCGTTGCGATGGTGTATGGAGGTTATGTATATGTACGTGATGAGCTTTGAGTTTGTTTAACGACTTGATATAGCAGCATACTATGACAACAAGAAGAATAAACATGAGTGCTGCAGCGTATCCCATATGTTCTGGTCTCGTTGCGTGGAACCTTGCCGTCGTTACCAAGCACGCCCCCATCAAGCAGCCGATGAGAAACTTATAAACTCTCCTATTTGTGATAACTTGCTTGTATCTTGTTTGAAGACGAATCGCAAAATAACGATCAATACTTATAGCAGTGACGACGAAAAAAGACGGGCTGCAGACGATATGAGACAGCACGTTCCCTGCTTTCAAGAGAGAGCAATAAACTTCAACATTTGAATACAGAAATGCGATTTTTCTGGCGATAAATAACGGTTGAATAAGAAGACCAACTCCGAAATCTGTAACAGCGAGGCAACAAATCAAGATGAACGATGGTTTTCGTAGGCTTGGTGTTTTGATGATGCTCAAAATCAGAAGTAAGTTAAGGATCATTGAAGGTATTGAGAGAAACGCGTTGATGATGACACAGATGATGTCAGCTGTGAATACGAAATTTCTGGAGTCATCATTGTGAGAAATTTTTAAACATGGGCAAAGTTTTGTCGTTGAGTTTACGTCCATTTTCCTTGCAAGAAAAACCTTCTTTTATGTGGAAATTTGAATTGCGAAAAATAAAAAAGACTCGACTTCTCGCATGAAATCGTTCCTCCTTTGATCATGAACGATGCGGTTGACTTTCCTTTATATACAAGCTTTGCACCATCACGTGATGGCACCCATGACAGGAGGCAGGAACAATTGAATCTGTTTTAATCTGATTTACTACATGACAAAGAATTCYGTTTCCCAGGGGAAAAAATATATATTGTTGTGCCTCCTGTCATGGCGTGATGGTGCAAAGCCTTTTTTCTTCGTTTGCACAATGACTTCATAGCCGCCATCTTGGTTGAAAGTCACTGAATTTTTTGTCTTTTGTGATTTCAATCAGTTTGGAATGATTCAAAACCATAAATAGAAACTAGACATCTGCAAGAGTTCTTCATAAAAACTAGACCTGACATGTATGCATCATTTTATTTGCACAGGTCTTATTCAATAAACTTTGAACAGCGTAGTTAGTTTTTTTAATAACTTTCACGAGCACAGTTATTTGTTGTTGATATTTTTCCTAGTCAATCAAAACATGACACATCTGTGCGTTCATCAAAAAGTCATTGCATATACTGCAATTTAATCTTGAAAATTTGACTGTGCTTTTGATTGACGATTTGAAAAGAAATCTGGATTAGGTTTTCGGGGTTTGTGAGTCTTTAAATGATCATGAATATTTTGTGTAACTAAAATTCGCTTGCTTCGGTGTACGACTTCATACTGTGAGGCACAAAGTTTTCTCCCCAATTTAAGAAAAAGGTCTCGACGATCGACTTTTTTTACTGTGGAGGACCACAGAGTTGTCGGTGAAAACTTTAACATGTCATCCTTCTTAAATAAAGTTTTAACTATTTCACTGCAGCTGTTAGTTGATTTTCTATCATTCAGGATGGAAACCCCGACGACACGCTGTTGGTACAGAATGGAATTTGAAGAGTAGGTATAGGTTGTGTTTGAATTGGTTTGCGTTGGGATGGAAATTTCCAGTTTTTTAATTTAATCTACTTTCTTAATATATTTTATTGATATATCATTTTTATTGATTGATTCATTCATATTACTCGATTAATTAATTTATATCATTTTTTTGTATTATTTATTTATATTAGTTATTTATATTATTTTTTCTTTTTTMTTTATCCATTCATCCATCAATTCATCCATCCATCCGTCCGTCCGTCCGTCCGTCCATTCCGAAAAAATAATTTAAACAACCCTAATTCCCATTTTATTTTTGATTAGCTTACACCTCTCATCAATGACGCAGTTTTGATACCCAAAAGAATTGATTCAAAAAATACATCATGTCATTCCGTCCGTCCGTCTGTCCGTCCGTCCGTTCCATCCATTCGTTCGTTCGTTCGATCGTTCGTTCGGTTCATTTATTCATTTATTCACTTAAATCGATAACTAATTAATTAATTCAAGTCAATGAGTTGCACAAGTTGGGTTGAATTTTCCCCGAGCTTCTGGTGGAACAGCGTGAAAAAATATAGGCTGACTTACTTGTTTAATGAGTGACTCCAAGAAAAGCCGATTTATTTTTTTTCGTCCAAGCTTCGAAAGACATCGTGAGATCTGCAGGTAAAATAGAAGTTACAAATTAAAACAAAACAAAATGTGCGAAGCCATGGAAAAAATTTTCTTATTTTATAGAAATCAATAAACTAATTTAAATAATGAATCGATACTTCATGCTAAAAACAATGTCCTTATTAGAGAAATAGAAAACGCGCGCGCGTGCTGTGTGCACTTATAAAGCACGCGGGGTTGGCAGAACACGAGAGAAGTGTTAGGAGAAGCACGACGCGTAGCGGAGTGCTTCTGGACACTTCTCGAGTGTTCTGCCAATCCCCAAGTGCTTTATAACTGCACACAGCACAGCAAGCAAGTTTTTAAATTTCTTTTATAAAATACAAAATACAGAAATGACGAAACTGAAAATGCGCGCGCGTGCTGTGTGTTCTCATGAAGCACGCGCTCCCAACCAATCAGAACGCGAGATTTAGAGCAGTTATTTTATAAGGCTACTTATAAAATACCCACCTTCTGCTAACATATTATTACGTTWAAAAAAAWTTTTTTTTCTCCCCCCGGCCCCCAACATATTCGACACTCATCATGATGGTTCTTTGGTTCTGTTCTGGGTTGGGGTTTTTGTATAGAGTAGTGCCTTTGTATCCAAGCGAGACGAACGGTGAGCTTGCAATGATAGAGACCTTTTTTAACACCTTGAACAATTATTCGCGTGTCTCTATCATTGCAAGATCACTGTTTGTTCCGCTTCAATGCAAAGGCACAGCTACCTTTCAAGATGGCGCAGAGAACTGTGAAGGGGACTATTGGGTGTATTCTCTACTTTCACAACCCCATAATACTTCGCGTCTTTGGGGGGTAACAAGAGGGTAAAAACCCACTTATTTTGCTGAAGGCTGATCAGACAGTGTTGACAATACCTTGTTTGGTATCCAAAAATAAAATGAAGAAGTAAAAAACAGAAAAAGATAGAAGCTTGAAGACGTTAAGGTAAATATTAAAAAWTTTTTCGTAAGTCAATACATTTTCTGTAAGACCAAAACTCTTGATGATCTGTACACGCAAAAATAACTTGGAATAAACTGATAATCAGTATTGTACTGATAAAAGCAGGTATAGTATAAATTCAATTAAGAAACCTTTCAATTTGGGACAGTGTTTTGATTGGTTACCCCCCAAAGACGCAAGGCATTWTGGGGATGTGGAAATAGAGAATGCTTACTGTCTCGTCTATGGCCACTACAGCTGGCTAGTACCAGTTTTTGAAAACACTATAAATTACAAAGAAATGTATGGTCGTGTGGTAAGTCACACGACCATACATTTGTAAATCATACCGCTTTCAAAAAAATTTTACTCCCAAAATATTGAACATATCAGTCTCAAATTTTCAGCAGTTTTCTGTAGAATTGGTTTGCTTGTAGCTTGAAATTTTTATTATTATAATGAGGAAAAAATGTAAATTAATATCGGCCTATTAGGATCAGGTCAAACGTCGAACTTGACATGAGTCATACCTGATTGAAACAATGGAAAACAAGGCGGTCTTCTTTGATGTGATAAGGTTCGGCTCATGTGAAGTTCGACGTTTGACCTGAGCCTTAGTTATCCCAACGGCTATTTTATTCATGGAAATTTTATAATGTCCCTATCAGGTTTATTCATTTTTCTTGAAAAATTTGAGGGAGAAAAAAATTTCTCTCATAGTGATCGTAGTTCACCCCAAGCCTGATAGCTCACCAAGAGACCTCGGCAAATTTTGACCGGAACTCGTTTTGTAATGTCAATAAACAAGTCCAACACATATGGAAAAGCGTATAAACTCTTCCCGTTTTATGTCAAAAAGACTGATGTGACGTGACCTGTCACGATCATGTGACCAGCTACTACTTCCTCAATCGCTAACAGCTGTCTTCATTGGTTTCCATATCAATCTTTAATTAATGTGGCTGTCAAATAAAGTAGTAACTTCTGGTTTCTAATATTTCGATATTCCTTTGAAATAATACACTTCAATTGATGCAATCTTATTTATCTTCTGGATAGATATCATATTTTTCTTTATGATATATAATATTAGGTTTGGTTTCTAATATTTTGGTATTCCTTTGAAATTCACTATAGTTAATATAATCTTATACTTCTTAATCTAGGGTATATATTTTATATAACTTATATATTTTTGATATAATATTAGGTTTGGTTTCTAATATCTTTTTATTCCTTTAAAATTCACTATAATTAATACAGTCTTATACTTCTTAATCTAGGGTATATATTTTATATATCTTATATATTTTTTGGATATATAA